TCTGTGCTGGGTCGTAGCTGAGTTCTACCCCAGGAGAAGGCTCTGCTGGGTCGTAGCTGAGTTCTACCTCAGGAAAAGTCTCTGCCGGGTCGTAGCTGAGTTCTACCCAGGGAGAAGGCTCTGCTGGGTCGTAGCTGAGTTCTACCTCAGGAAAAGGCTCTGCCGGGTCATTGCTGAGTTCTACCCCAGGAGAAGGCTCTGCTGGGTCGTAGCTGAGTTCTACCTCAGGAAAAGGCTCTGCCAGGTCGTTGCTGAGTTCTATCCCAGGAGAAGGCTGTGCTGGGTCGTAGCTGAGTTCTACCCCAGGAGAAGGCTCTGCTGGGTCATAGCTGAGTTCTACCTCAGGAAAAGGCTCTGCTGGGTCGTAGCTGAGTTCTACCCAGGGAGAAGGCTCTGCTGGGTCGTAGCTGAGTTCTATCCCAGGAGAAAGCTCTGCTGGGTCGTTGCTGAGTTCTATCCCAGGAGAAGGCTCTGCTGGGTCGTTGCTGAGTTCTATCCCAGGAGAAGGCTCTGCTGGGTCGTTGCTGAGTTCTACCCCAGGAGAAGGCTCTGCTGGGTCGTAGCTGAGTTCTACCCAGGGAGAAGGCTCTGCTGGGTCGTAGCTGAGTTATACCCCAGAAGAAGGCTCTGCTGAGTCGTTGCTGAGTTCTACCCCAGGAGAAGGTTATTAGCATTCGATTGACATTCAATGTCTGGTTGCAACAAGTATTCCAACAAATCCTGCATAGGAATGCTAACGTGTTTCATTTGAGTAGACACTAAATAATGTACACATACATTTTAATGACAAATGGGTTCAAATCATTCCAAACCTTGTTCCATCAACATGACACCAGACTAGCTCAGTCAACAAGACGACACCAGCCGTGTTCTATCAATTTGATGACACCAGCCTTGTTCCGTTAACATGACGACACTAACTTTGTCAAATGAAACTCAAATAATCCAATTATAGTACAAAGATTGTGTCCAGAAGAGGACTCCGCTGGGGCGTAGCTGAGTTCTACCCCAAGAGAAGGCTCTGCTGGGTCGTAGCTGAGTTCTACCTCAGGAGAAGACTCTGCTGGGTCGTAGCTGAGTTCTACCCCAGGAGAAGGCTCTGCTGGGTCGTAGCTGAGTTCTACCTCAGGAAAAGGCTCTGCCGGGTCGTTGCTGAGTTCTACCCCAGGAGAAGGTTATTAGCATTCGATTGACATTCAATGTCTGGTTGCAACAAGAATTCAAACAAATCCTGCATAGGAATGCTAACGTGTTTCATTTGAGTAGACACTAAATAATGTACACATACATTTTAATGACAAATGGGTTCAAATCATTCCAAACCTTGTTCCATCAACATGACACCAGACTAGCTCAGTCAACAAGACGACACCAGCCGTGTTCTATCAATTTGATGACACCAGCCTTGTTCCGTTAACATGACGACACTAACTTTGTCAAATGAAACTCAAATAATCCAATTATAGTACAAAGATTGTGCCCAGGAGAGGACTCCGCTGGGTCGTAGCTGAGTTCTACCCCAAGAGAAGGCTCTGCTGGGTCGTAGCTGAGTTCTACCTCAGGAGAAGGCTCTGCCGGGTCGTTGCTGAGTTCTACCCCAGGAGAAGGCTCTGCTGGGTCGTAGCTGAGTTCTACCCCAGGAGAAGGCTCTGCTGGGTCGTAGCTGAGTTCTACCTCAGGAGAAAGCTCTGCTGGGTCGTTGCTGAGTTCTATCCCAGGAGAAGGCTCTGCTGGGTCGTTGCTGAGTTCTATCCCAGGAGAAGACTCTGCTGAATCGTTGCTGAGGTGCCAAGGAGAGGGCTCTGCTGTATTGAATTTATTTAGAATTGCTAATAAAGCTCTTCAGAAGTACTAGTACCTTCTTTTATAGGATCATTTGAATATCTTGGAATCCAGGGACTGTACTTGAGTGGGTGGAAGAGTTGTTGTTTATTTCATTTAAAAACATGTAAGTGTAATGACAATATTGAAAGCCCGTGGAATTGAAATGGGACATGGTGTGGTTTATTGCTGTCAATATGTAACAGCGTTATTGGGTTACTCATTTTTACTATTCAACTAGTGTTCAATCGTCTTGATTCGCCGTTACCATGACAACATCCAAATATTTTCGGAATGTATAACTTCATCACAGTACCGTGTGGTCGATCATCCCAATTACATCATTATTGAGTCACGAATTCGTAGAAAATTGCCATTCATCATATAAATTTTCTTTACATCGTAGCCCCTTAATTAAAACAAGTATAACTCGCATTAATCTTATTAACAATAGTTTTCAAATGCCAATAAATAAATTTTTGTCAAAAACGTGCGTTTTATGCTTTTATCATGATTTATATTTCAGTCAGTTTGACAGTGGTTGCCATGACATATACTGATAAAGGTTAATGACAAGACCAGATGGCGAGCTCATCAACCAAAAACATCTTATGACTCTGCAGTTTTTAAGATACAAGACAGTAGCTGTAATTCTAAACCAATGTTGTTTGCGATTTTAACTAAGGTGGTATCTTTGTGGAATGTTAGTTCGAGACTATTACCCCATCAATATTAGTTGGCGTTGACAATATATAGAAATGTTTTCTCTAGACAGCTTGACGAGTAATTAATTGATTATGATGTGTAAAACTTTCATGTAATTGGTTGTTTGTTGGAAGGCCTTGGAGTCTCTTATACTGATTGTAATTGGTTAAGGGGTGACAAGAAATAAAGATTGATTTAATGCTGTCTCGGGTGAAAACTGGGGACTTGGCAGAGAATCGTTTTGGGAACATGAACAAAGCTTGTGTGTGTCTTTTGTCAGCCTAGCGGTGGAAACGACCGAATCCCGGTTACCTAAGTGAAAGGTTTTTAACCATCAAAAATACCTATCACACGT